CTCAGGCTGTGATCTTTAAAGGGGCAGGCTGCTACTGATCACCAGGTCATTTCTTCTGTGGGACTCCTAAGCAGATTCAAACCACTGACCTTTCAGCTAGCAGCTGCGTTTTATCCCACCAGGGATCCAGAGAGGGAGTTGGCCAGCTCATTTTTGTGTTTCTAATTTTGATAATTGCGGGCGGGCGTTGAGGCTCCAGCATCCATCAAGGAGCACATGGCCCAGCTGATATGTTGGATTCAGTAAGTCTTTTTTCCTCCCTGGACGTCTTTTTTATTATTGTTAGTTGGAATTTAATGCATATATCCTGCCAAATTTCAATCGCATCAAGCAGAATGTAAAATTGCTACCACAATCAGCTTCCAAACATTCTTTTTCTACACAGACACCTTGACATCACCTCCCTTTTACCCCACCTCCACCACTCTATCCCCCTCCCCCGGCACCCCTATTCTACATGCTGTCCCTCTAGGCTCATCAATCCTCAGTCTCATAGACCGAAAAAGTAATGTAAAGCATATAACACAGCTTCAAGAGGGTGACTTCCATTGAAATAACATCTCCAAGGTACACTCTACTAAGAACAAACAAAACCTGAAGAAAACAATACAAACCAAAAGTACAGAAAATTTTGGAAACTCCATAAGGTTCAGCCCGCATCATAGGGGGGATCTACTGGCAAAGTTTTAACTGTTCAGGTCTGATGTATGCTTCTGATCGTCCGTACTCCTCTCTCCCAAGCACTCTGTTTTTGACCACTTTCCTCCTTTCTGATTAAGTTTTTTGAACACTTTGGTGGAAGCATAGTTGCTATTTCTCCAGCCTATTCTAAACACGATTCCAAGTTTGAGAGAAAAACAAAACAACAAAACAAGAAGAGAATAATTTGCCTTAAATAATCTTCTTCCTTTTGAATGCTCACTTGAGCTTTCGAGGAGAAGATGGAGAGATGTAAATAATGCTTTCAGGCTTTTTATCTTGTTTTTTTCCCCTCACCCACATTGAAATTTCTTAAAAAGCTTCAACCATCAGACATTCTGCTGTCAGTGACTTATTCTCATTATTTTACTGTGAAGACAAAATATCAGTTACAATTCAAATCCTCGTCACATTCCTTTCTCCTCTCTGGAAATCTTGATAAGAGTGAAAAAGCATTACAACAACAAAACATACAAACAAACAAAAGACTGGAACAAACAAACTAATGCATTTCTCATCTCCTTCCCGCAGAGCCATTAGTGGGTTTGAACTACTGACCTGGTGGTTGCCCTCTCAGTCCATAGCGCACTACACCAACAGAGCTCCTCCCTAAGTTTATTCTTTCATTGCCTGAGTCACTACTACTTTGCTGCTCATAGAGCGCTCTGGTGGCACTATGGGATAAACGTTAGGCTGCTAACTGCAAGGTCAGAAGTTCGAACCCACCAGCCGTTCTGTGGGATAAAATGAGGCTGTCTGCTCCCAGAAAGATTTACAGTCTTGCAAAGTTTTTATCAGATTGATTGCTCTCAGTCAGAATTCATTCAGTGGCAGTGGGTTTGGGTTATTGCTCATGACAAGAAAGAAGAAAAGTCAAATTTCATTTCTTGTTTACGTGATGGCTCCTATTTTCCTTCCACCTCAGCAGACTCACAGCGGAACTGTTTGAAGATGTTTGAAACGGAAAATTGCTTAAAATAGGAAGGTGCTGTGCCTAAAGGTTTGAAGTTGTCTTCCTGGCATGCATTTCAATGCACTCTAGGGTCTTTGCAAATAATGTTTTTCTTGAGTGTACTTTCTACTCCCATAGCATATCCCAAGGTGGGCTACTGGCAGCCTGGTGACTAACGGATGGTGACAATTTCGAGAGGGTGTGGAAAAAGAAGGGGGAAGACTGAGGGGAGTCCCTAGACCTGAAGCGTTTAAAAGCTGGTAGCCTTACTTTTCAAACAAGCTTCTGCATGAAACGTTAGCTTCTCAAGCACAATAACAATAATAGTAACTGCTGCTTTCTAGTTGACTTTGACTCATAGTAGCCTCCTGTATGTCAGAATAGAACTGTGTGTCATAGGACTTCCAATGACTGATGCTTTGAAAGCGGGTAACCAGCCTTTCTTCCAGGGCGCTTCTGGGTGGAATAAACCCACCAACAATTTGGTTTGCAGCAGGGCACTAAACCATTTGGACTCCTACTAATCCCTCGGTTTAAGTAAGGCCACCTTTCATGTTGCCTTCTGCGTCTACGGGGCGGAAGTTGAGGAGGAAAAGAGGTGCCTGGAAGAGACAGAGAGATGAGAAAGCAGCACTGAGCAAACACACCGGAGGCTCACCATCACAAGGCACTCAACGACAAGAGCTGAACCCCGGAGAGGCAAAGGAACCGGTTTGAGGGCCAGAGACACCCGCTTGAGCAGCAGTGACATGCACAAACAGTTTCAGATTTGGGGAGTCGTGAACCTTGGTGTTTTCGGGGATTTCTCTGGAGGTTTCTCTTGGGTCCGGGCATTCTGAGGCGTGGGCATGCTTGGACATCCTCTGCATTGTCTTCCAGGCCACATGCCTCCCTCGCTAGGGCTCCATGTTTCTAGGACGTTTCTTCCCACTCTCGCCTCATTTTCATTTTAGTTTCCACCATAAGTTTGCTCATCTGCCTTCATACAGTTTTATTGTTTTGGCACGGAAGCATGCCACCCCTCCCTTCCTACTCCCCCTTTCTGGACTGAAGACCATTACTTCACAGACACTCAAATGATCTGCCCCTCTCAAAGGAACGGATGACAATGTCTAGTGAACTGTGCCGTTTAAACCCTTTATCAAGGTGCCAAAGGGAATTGGCAAGTGTCAGTGCAGGGTGGGTGGGGGTTGCCCCTATAGATGGTAAGGCATTTGGAAAGACACACTTGTATTTCAAATCCAGTTTATACCAGATTATTGATTTCTCAGGGAGAAGCAGCATGGAAATCATCCATCAAATGATACCACGTGTGAGAAAACAGTGCTGTGTCTGTGTATAAGGCAATGATTAAGGAAAACTTAGACATCCGTTGGACAATGTTTCATTCCATATGCAAGACTTTGTCCTCCCCTGGTTTTCCAAATGACAGTAAAGGATGGATTATATTTAGACTCTGGCCTTGCAAGCCTGCTCCCAGTTCTTTTATTTAAAAAATAGTTGATTTAAATACTTATATTTGTTTATTACTTTGAACATCTGACTTACGTACTTCTATTATTGAACTATGATACCCTAGTTCTGAAGGCTTGGGTGCCATCAGGCAGTTCTGTACAAGGATCTTCAAACTCCATCCCGCTAGCTGAGTGAAGCAACTTTGCTAGTTTGATTGGGACCTCTTACTTTGTGCCTGCCTGCTAGCAGGATTTTGTAGAATGAGCTAGCTCAGTTTCCGAAGCTTCCTTAAAACAGAAAGTTCTTTTTCTTTTTCCTCCCCAAGGTAGGAAATCTGAACTCTTGAACTCAGAGTTGAGTGATGATGTGCTGGCCTTTGCCAAAGGGCTTGTTTCCTCTTTGCTGACATCCATCAGAAAGGAGAGGGGATAAAGGAAATGTTCCGCTGCATGAACGGTTTCCCGAGGAAGCTCCTGTTTGTTTGTTTGCTGGCTTCTTAAAGCTTGTTTGCTTAAGATAAGGCCCCTTTAAAAGGAGGGGGAAATATTTTATTGTTCCCAGGTAACATTTAGGAAATAAAAAAGGTTTGAGTCTGTGGGGAGTGTCCCGTGAACATGGAAATGCCAGGAGAGCCGTGAACGGAAATAGTGTCTTCCAGAACCCATGGAAAGATATTAAGTCCATTCCATAACATATGCTCATCTAAAAATGGTAGAAAGAAGACACTATGTTTCATATATTTTCAATGCTTTAGAGGCAGTTGTTACAAAATATACAGATTTTAACTCCTTTCAGTTTTGTATTTTGGGTTTACAATGATGTGAGCAAATTTGCTTTTGTGGTAGTCAATTCCTGGTTGGAAGCCCTGGAGTCTATACATAATCTCCGTCTTCTGGGAAGGAAGCTTGTGTATTCTTGCCTAAAAATAGAGTGCCTTTTTATTTAGAACAAAGTATTCTATCACAAAACCTCTGTATGAGCATTAGAAATGACCGCAGGGTCACCTAATCCATCATTAATCTGGAGGACAAGTTTATTAAAGCAATTCCATAGTTCGTTTAGTCATCAAATAACGCTTTTAAGGTAAGTCATCAAAAACGCTAACAACTTATTTGAATAGTAAAATATGTAGTCATTAAACATGTTTATTCTATATTTCCGAGGCTAATTTTCTCTGAGAGAATGTAGGCATCTTAGCTCTATTTATTAGCACTAAAGATTTACAGTCTCTGAAACTCTACAGAGGAAGCCACACTGAGTCAGAGTCGACTCGACAGCAGTTAGTTTTATTTGGGGTTTTTAATGTCTGCTCACCTATTATCCTGCTAATGTACTCAGTCCTGCTAGGATGTTTGTTTTGAAAATAGGAGTTTGCACCAGTGTGATTAATATATTAGGGAAATGATGGACGAACAAGGACACTTATTTATGAAGAATGCCTCCGGCTGGGCAACACACACACACACACACACACACACACACACACACACGTCACCTCAGTTCACTGCATGTGTTAGTGTCGCACTGCCTAGGCACAAGTGACCGGAAAAACGACACGTGGGGGCTTTACAGACAGGACTCTGTTTCTCACGGTTCTTGAGGTTAAAAGTTCTAATCTAGGTCTCGGCTGTATGGATCCCTTCCTCGGCAGATCCACCCTGGACTTCCTGGGTCCCGTGGCATTCTCCGATGGCAGCTTTCTTCCCCTGCACATGTGGGCCTCTGTGTCTGCTCTGCTCGGTTTAGAATGCAGAGGCAATAGGTGCAGGACACACTGGACATGGATGATTCATTAATAGCACAAAGAACGCCTGTGCCCAAACAGGATTACATCTATAGGAATAATCCCACTGTCAGTGAGTCACTTCAGACTCATAAGGACCCTACAGGACAGAGGAGACCGTTTCCCTAGGGTTTTACAAGGCTGTAAATCTTTACAGCGGTGGACAGTCTCACCATTCTACTGAGAAGCATCTGGTGGTTTCCACCTGCTGACCAGTGCCACCAAGGCTCCTACTTGTAGGCACACAAACCAACAGCCATCCAGTCAAAGCAGAGCAAACCTGCAGGAAAGAGTAGAGCTGCCCCCTGGGGTTTCCAAGGCCGTACATCCTTATAGGAAGAGGTCGTTTCTTCGTTCTCCTTAGGAGCAGCTGAGCTGGAACCACTGACCTTGTGGTTAGCAGCCCAACCCCTAACCGACCCAGGCGCCTGGGTTAGAATCAATCCAACAGTTTTTTTTGAAGGGGGCACAGTTCAATCCATAGCACACACCCATTGAGCAGCTTTATGTCTGACTTTAGAGACACCACTCACCATCACTCCCAAGCTACAGTCCTTCTGCTACCCAAATGAGCACTTGAGGCCTTTTAATTTATCTATCTATCTATCTATCTATCTATCTATCTATCTATCTATCTATCTATCATCTATCTATCTATCTATCTATCTATCTATTTATTTCTGTATTTATATTTTTAGGTAAAGTGCCATATTCAGGGTTGTGTGCATGAATTTCTCAGCCATGTAGCCAGTATAAAACCTGTGCTACCATTGTACCTGCCCACTCCCCACCCCCTCTTTTTTTTGCTATTGTTTTTTAAAATGTGCTGCTGGTGACATTTATTTAGTGTTTCATCATAACCTCAATTCCTCTGATAATCTCTGCCATTTCCGTGGTGGAATTCTGCAGAGCACAGCATTTCAGGGACCAGAGTGTTGATACGGGGGCATCCCTGGCTGTGCCTTCGTTACAGCACCAGACCTTTGAAGGCCTTCAAGATAGCTTAGCTCTCATTTCACATTTAGATATTTTCTTTCTGGGAGTCCGTTATAAATAGCATTTTGACGGACATGTTTGTGTATCGTGCTAGAGTTGTTTAGAGAGATTTCCCAGAAATTGAATCATGAGGACCAAAGCTAAGTCTCTTTGACACATACTGCCAAGTGCAATCCACATGGGTTGTATGAATTGATACTATAAGAGTGTTGTGCAGGTATCATATTGCACATGATGGTTCTCTGTCGCTACGATAGTGAGGTGCACAATGGCCCAAACCACTGCTGTGGGTCACTCCCGACTCACGCCATAGGCATGAGTTGCAGACCAGAACTGCCCCCTAGAACTTTCTCGGCTTTGGTGTTGATTGAATCAGATTGCCAAATTTACCTATGGGGATCCAGTGTCTGGGCTTAGATGCTGAATCAAGAAATCAAAACAGAACATTTTATTCAATTTTAAAATGTATATAAATTTGTAAATGTTCCAATATTTTAAATATATATTTTTTAGGTCTTTAAGTATGTATGCATACACATACATGTATGCCCATATGAACACACATATATGAACACTCATGTCGACACACATGTTCATAAATGAACTCATTGCTATCAAGTTGATTCTTTTTTTTTTTAACGATTATCTTATTGGGGCTCTTACAGCTCTCATAACAATCCATGCATCAGTTGTGGCAGCATATATGTACAAATGTTGCCATCGTCATTTTCCAAACATCTACTTTTTCTTTGAGTCCTCGGTGTCTGCTCCTCTTTTTTCCCTCCCACCCCCCTGGAGGCCCCTTGATAAATTATAAATTATTATTATTTTCATATCTTACACCGACCACTGTCTCCCTTCACCCCCAACTTGAGAGCAGTGGGTAAGAAATAAGAAAGAAGAAAGAAAGGATATGTATCTCCTTTGTGGCACTGTGGAGGAGACATTGGGCTGCTAACCACAAATTCTGCAGTTCAAAGCCACCAGTTGCTCCATCAGAGAAAGAGGAGGCTGTCTGCTCCCAAATCATTTACAGTGTTGGGAACCCTAAGTAAGGTCTCTAAGAGACAAAATCAACTGAATGGCAGAGGGTTTGATTTTAGTAAATGTTGCTGCCGTTGTTAATGATCTTCTAGCTGGCTCTGGTTCATGCTGACCTTACTTATAAACAACAGCAGGAAGCATTGTCAGGTGCCAGCCCTCTGGTCTCTCCCGTCTTTTTGAACGTTGGTTTGTTTCAGCCACTCTGTGATTTGATTATCTTCTGATCTTGGGGCTCATCTTCCAGCACCGTATCAAAAAGTATGCTGCTGTGATCCTCGGTGTTTTGACCGGCTAATTTTCATAAGTGCTTTACCATCATCTTTCTTCCTAGACTCTTTTTGCCAATCAGTTTGTCACACTGTGCTAACCCTGCATGTTGCTGTGCTGCTGAAAGCAAGACCACTGGCATTTTAAATGTCAGGAGGGTCACCCATAGTAAACAGGTTTCAGTGGAGCTTCTGAAATAAGACAGACATGATGCTAGGTATGTGGACATTTGAAAATACATACTGTATGATATGGTAGAGAAAACATCCAGCTTAATATTATAATGCTTTTCTAGGTATTTTGATATCAGAGAGCTCTATCTTACTCAGATATTTTATATAAATGACCAATTTGGCTGTCATTAATGATCAAAAATCAATTTCTATTTTTAATAAAGGAGAACATTCAAATTCAAATCAGAGCTATACATTCCAATAAGTATTTATATTGACAGGCTCTCTGTAATTCCTTTTACTTGGTTAAGAATTAATTATCAGGGTGCTTTGTCATCACACTGAGAATCTAATTGTTATTTATATTCATTCATGAACAAATCCCAAGTGCCTTGACAGTATTGGATACTGGGTATGCAGAGGAGGAGGAGCCTGAGCCCAGGCTCTCTAGGGGGGGTGGGAGGAAGATCTTTGGCGAGGAAGCCATCACTCTCCAGATACCACAGAGGGAAGCCCCTGACTTTTAAAAGATTTCTAACGAGATTTGGGAGAAATCCCACAGAATCTGTGGTCTGTGCAGTAAACCACGTAAGCAATGATTGTTTCAGGAGCTCTGGTGGAGCTGTGGGGTAGGCATTGGGCTATTCAAATCATGGCAGGGGGGTTCGAAGCCACCAGCTACACTGAGAGGGAAAGATGAGGTTGTCTGCTTACATAAAAATAAGCCACTTCGGAAACCCTCTATGAGACCACTGTTTGTAGGAATTGACCTAATGGGAATGGGTTTGATTTTTGGTATGGGTCTAAATTAATGCCAATATCTCACTCGTTATGAGAAACGACTCTCCCGTGGCCTCCTTGGAACAAAACCGTTGGTGCTCATGGGGGATTATTTTCTTCGGACAACTTCAGAAGAAATGCCATGTAAGACAGCACACACCCCTTTGAAGAATTCTATTGCAAATTGTCTTTGAGAAAAGTTGCACCAAATACTCCCTCAGGAAGTGTGAGAAAGCACATTTTGACTGAGGTCTAGATGAACAGTTTAAAAATGAAAATGGAAACCAACATCAACACTTCTTAACATCCTTCAAGTAGTTATCTGGTGTAAAAGTTGGATGTTCTGAAATGCAAATCCCACCTCACTGACAACTGAAAAATTGTTAAAAAAAAAAACAAAAAAACAAGCTAGAGTGAGCCTAAATTAGACACAAATGGCAGTCATCCACCTTGCCCAGGCTTTGCCCTTAATTAATGCGGGGGAAATGCCTTTGACAAAGCATGTAACCTCTCAGTGGCTGTGCTACTTTATCTATGACAGAAGAATGCATAATTGGGTGATTTTTGTTGGTGGTCTCTGAACCATACATTGTACAGTTCTGTGAGTATCCTCTGCCATCTGTCCTTGACTGCCCTGCCCTGTGGTGGCATGTGTTTGCTAGAAGTCTGGAAGCTGTGCATTGATATTTCCAGTGACCCCCATGGGTCTGTGTGGTGGGCAGGCTGCAGTAGAGCTTCACACTGAACCATGCTGGGAGTATGAGTGCAGTCTACACCAGCCGGTGAAAACCCTGCGAAGCACAGCCCTCCAGAGAACCTGTTGTCTGCAACGCACAGTGGGGAGGGTGCAGGACGGGGCAGCCGTCGAGTTCCGGTCTGCACGGGGTCACCACGAGTCTAGCCTACTCAACAATGAATACCAAGCCATTCTGACTTCATTAGTTTCGCAGCAATTCCGAACACAACCACCACCACTTGCTAAGGCAGTGCTTCTGCCCAAGCTGGGCTTCGCATCAGATTCACCTGGAGCTGTCCGAGATCCTGCTTGAGCAGGTTTACTGTGGGACCTGAGTATTTTTCATTTCTGACAAGCTTCCTGTTGATACTGATGTTTGCTAGTTTCTGCTCGTTTGTGGACCAGCCTTTGACTACTACTCCCTAGAAAACCTTTCTGTGAGCATCCTTCCCTCAGCAGAGGAGAGTTTTCCCATGGTACTGTCCTTGGGAATTTGTCGTCTGCCCAATCCTTCTGAAGCCGCTGTTTACTACCCTGCATTAAAAATACGGAAGCGTCCTACTTACAAACTATCTTTTCGGGACTTCTACACCTGATGGCCTGTGGGTAGCCCTTCCAACAATTGGTCTGCTTCCAGATCATTCTTCTCCAATGCAATTTCCATCCCTTCTTGGCTTCTCTGGGAAGAGGCCTTGCTAACCCTGGATGCGGCCTTTTGCTGCCCGGGACTCTCATACAAATCCAGGAGTGAGCAATCTCTGACTGAATTTCAGCATAGGTGATGAGCTGACAGGGGGGGTTATACTAAAGAATGGCCTTTCCTTCTTTCTCCAACACAAGCCAGGACACTAGGAAGAGTTAAGAAGAGCTCTCTGATTGGAATCAACTGCCTGCCTGCTGCTTCTGTGGTTCCATCTTTAAAGCAGCCCCCTGCCTTTGTCAAATGAGTGTGGGTCTATTTACAATGTCCTGTTAATTTCACAAATTACAATATGGAAAGAGACTGAGAACGACTTCTCCTTTCCAACCTCAAAACATCATGTTTCAGTATTCAACTTTTCTTAAGCCTCTAAAAGAAGTTTATTTTTATTATTATTAGCTCAGGAGCTTCCAATGTGGTGGGACAGGCAATCAGGGTAGAACCTCA